CTTTTTTGCCCCACTGTATCTGAGACAAGGCAATGTGTGAGGAGGACCTTCCTTCATCTACAGCTACATGCAGTGTGATGGGCTTTCTGCAGCTTAACACAAGAACAAACGACTGTGGCAGAATATATCACATAAAGTCCTGTAAATGGTGATTCTTGATTAGTATGTATGTGACAGGGAATGGGAAGGTTGAGCCGTCTAAGTCTTAATAGAGAGTATGACAGTTTCATGGTGTGGAGTGTGGCCATCAGTGGACGGTGTGTTTGGCTGTATGTGACGAATGAAATATCCATTTTTATACACAGAATTAACAACAGTAACACGAGCACATCTGTTTTATTTGGTTGCTCAGAAGACATGCTGAAGTGTGGACCTCTTCACTTATCCTTATCAGGGTCATGGGGGCCACGAGCAAGAGGCAGGGTACAGCCTGACAGGTTATCAGGCTGTTGCAGGGCTAACACAGACACACAGACATTCACACCTATGGGTAATTAAGAATTATCAACCAACCTAACTACCCTGATTGCATGTCTCTGGCCTGTGCGAGGAAGCCGGAGTACACAGAGCAAACCCAGCGAACTCCACACAGAAAGGCCACAGGGAGATGAGTCCAACCAGGACCTTCTTGCTGTGAGGCACACACCACTCTACTGCTCTTTAGTATGCAAACCCAGATGATCAGCTGTAAGTTTGGTTAAAAAAAAGCTGTCACAGTGACAGCAACAGATGGCAGCGCTAGGTGAACAGAAATGATGGCGACAGACCATGGACTGTCTCCATCATTGAAAAAGCCACCGTCAGGGACTCGGCACACCTTACAAGGTGAACACATGACAATAACATTCATCAGGAACAAGGTGATGCACTCCTCACTGCTGCTCTGCATAGACTTTCAACCCTAAGCCAGCTGTTTGAAGTTGAGTGACCATCAGCCACCTCCTGTAAATGGATGACATCAGGCTGTATGCCAGAGTGAACTCACTGATCCACCTCACCAGGATCTACAACAGGGGTGTCAAACTCAAATACACAGTGGGCCAAAATTCAAAACTGGAACAAAGTCGCGGCTAACGTTAATATTTATTGAAATATATTTATTCCTCCAGATATAAGAATTAATCTTTTCTTATGGACTCAAACACATTTTGCTGGAAAACTGAATATGGAACAAGCAAAGCTTAATACTAAACAATATATATATTAGCTGTATAACACCAGTAGGCCAACTCTAATAGTAATTTGGTATGGCTTCGCGGGCCAAATGTAATAAGGCTGCGGGCCAAATTTGGCCCGCGGGCCAGAGTTTGACACCTATGATCTGCAAGGACATGGGAAAGTCATTTGGACTGGATGTCTAAAGCTGACCGGTTGAGTTCTAACGGGGCAGCATTCCCATAAAGGAGAGCAGCTGCAGGTACCTGTGTGTTGCACAGGCCATCATGAAAAAGATGAATGTCAGTAACAGGCAATTATCTGCATAAGACATGAGCTGAGACAAAGCAGATCGGTAGGAATGTGATGAAGTCATCAATGCATGTGAGTTTGCAAGAAAAGCACAAATACTTTGTTACTGTACAAATACTTTGTTACTGTACAAATACTTTGTTACTGTACAAATACTTTGTTACTGTACTCAAGTAGAACTCTGTACCTGAGTACAGTTTTTTTCTGAAACGTTTTACTTTTACTCCCTTTTTTAAACAAATACCTGTACTTTCTACTCCTTTTGGTTCAGGTGTATCATTTACAGTAGAATGTAGCTAGTGCTATGGAAGAGGAGGAAGCATGAAAGGAGTGATGTCTGAAGTGTCAGTTCAACAAACATCAGCAAACATACAAACTGTTTGTGCGCAGTGTGTTGATAGCTGCTGTATTTCCAAGGAGAGAGAAGAGTGTGAGAACGTTGAGATGGAGAAAGATGTAAGAAAAGACAGGAGGGGACGCAGAGGGTTAGATTTAAAGGCAGGCCAGCTCAGTAAAGCCTGGAAATCTGATTTGCAAATTTAAAACGTACATGTATTTTTAATCTCATATTGGACATTACTTCAAAACAAACCAGGTTATACTAACTTTGTGTTAATCAAATGTTGCATGGAAATACTCTGTATGGGTTAAAGACGTTAGCTTGTCACACTGCATGGAGTTATTGTAAAGCTGGAGTGGTGCACAGTGTCAGTGGTCAGTCTTGGTTTTACATCAAGTGTAGCAGACTGATTTAAGATGATGATGGTTGGATTAACTCACTGAATTCTGACGTTATACCAACTGTATCCAGACATAAAGACGTTGTGCAGCATAATGTCAGTGTAGGGAATGGAAATCAGTGAAGATCGCTGTAAAAGATCTGCTCGTTGTGTACATCCACAATCCTGTACACTAAATCTGCTGAAGCTCATGTTAATGATTTTGAGTTGTGATTTTTGTCCCCGTGCTGAGACACAGATGTTAGGGTTCCCCCACCTGCCCACTGTAACCCCCGACTGTGCTGATTTTACTGTTTAGCTCAGGAGGTGAAGTCACCGTCTACAATGTAGGCAACTAGAGCTGCCACAAACGATTATTTTGATAGTCGACTAGTCAC